GCCGCCTCGGCTCGGCCCGCTGCTCTGGCTCAGGGTGTGATTGTGGGTCCCGAGACCGGGGGCGCGCGTGCGCGCCCCGTCTGCCCGGAGGACGACCGGCAGCCCCCCACTCGTCGGGGGAGAGAGGGAAATGCCACAGGGGCGGCGCCACTGCATTCGCTGGGCGCTTCTTTGCGCCTGGGGTGCCCCTGTGAAAAGGATTAACTTTCTGGCCCGCTCGTCCGGCCCGGCCCGGCCCCGGCTCCGTTGTCACTGGCAGGGCGGGGGGGGGGGGGGGGGGGGAGAGCGCACGCGAAAGAGAGGGCCGGCCTGGGGGGAAGTACCTCTCACGCCCTCGGCCGGGGGACCCATTCGACTGAACGGGAATACCGAGGCCCGGTTGCGCACCTGGCAGGAGTAACATTAATCGCTCCGCTCGGGCCCGACAAGAAGGCGAGAGGCGCATGCTTTCGGCCCAGCCCGGCCCCCTTCGTGCCATCCCCCAGCCCCGGCTCGGGCGTGCGGGCGCCTGTGCGAAGGCGCAGGCGCGCTGCCCGGGCCGTGCCCCCTTGCCCTCGACTTGGGGCCCCTGCGGCGGAGGAGGGGGGTTTCCATGGCTAGCTGTGACGCCATGCCCCGATCAGCCGGTGGTGCTGGAAAGGTTTCGCACACACGGCCTGCCCCCCCCCCAACTCCCCACGCCCTGTCGCAGGCCGGTGGCGTCGCACGGCCGCGCACCTCATGCCGTGCCCTTTTCCCGGGAAGGCGCCTCTCCCTTTCACGCCACCGAGGGAGCGCTTAACCGGCCGGCACATTTCGAGCGAGCAGACCCCCCGAGGCGGGCTCGCCCGGCACTCGGCACACCGGCATTCCGGCGATTGCAACCCGAAATGCCCGGCGCACCGAAGACCGCCCCATATCAGTGATGCCGCATGTCCGGGCCGGTCAGCCCGCCCTGGCCGCCAGCCAGCCGGTCACCCCGGCGGCTTGGTCTCCCCTCCCCGGGAGGCGTGTGTGGGCGTGGGCCTGGGCGTGTGGGCGTGGAGGGCAGGGGGAAGGGGGGACATCACGCTGCCTTGCCTGCCCACCTCATGGCCCACTTATTGCCCCACAGCACAGTCCTGCCTCCGCTCGCCCCCTTCCCCTCCGGCTCCGTCCCTCACGCACACACATCTAAACAACCAACACACACATACACACACACACACACACGTAGATCCACCGGAAGGGCAGACACTCGACAGGCCTCCCCCCACGCCGGGTAAATAGAATAATACCCGGCGAGGAGGTGCACAGGGCCACACAGGGGAGGCGGGGGGCGGGGGAGGGGGGAAACACGCACACGCAAATACACGCACTCGGGGCCAGCCACGGGCAAACACACCACACCCCAACGTGCACCCGCTTGGGGGAACCCAGGGGGACCAAGCTGGCCAGGATCATGCTCTCCGCTGCCCCGCGCTCGCCCCCCCCCCCCCGTGCACAGCCAGCTCTGACAGCGCAATCCGCCAACTCACCGGTGCGCCGCGAGCAGCGCGGTCGTGGCCCTGCAGCCAGCCGCACGTGGTCGGCGGCTCGTGCCATCGCCGGTTGATAGTGTCCTATCGCATGACGGCCCCCAGTGCCGCCGGGAAACCCTCCCTCCCGATGGCTCGCTCCAACCACTGATGTCAGCCCCGGGGCGGAGGCCCGTGTGCCCGCATGTGTGCGCGAGGGCCTTTTGCGGCCGCCGGGCATAATGGCGCGGAAATATTCCCCGACCCGGTACTCTTGTCCGAGAAGACTGGCCACGCCACCCGGACAAGGGGCGGGGAAAAAGGAGGCACCCACCCACACACACACACACACACACACACACGCGCGCGCGCGGAGCCAAACGGGAAGTCTATGGTTATGCGGCTATGGGGCGCCGGGAGGTGGCAGGGGAGGAGGAGGAAAGTAACACAAGAAAGACGCCCATGAGGGAAGAATGTGGGAAAGACAAGGGCGAGGGGAGGGAGCATTCCCCGGGCCCCGCCGGTCGGGAGTCGCTAAAGGCGGCCCATGCTGCTGTTAAGGCGCAGGCGGATCCGGTCGCACAGATTGTCCACGGTCCGGGCGCCCTCAGGGCCGATGGCCGCCCGCGAGGGGGGATGGTTGAGGACCGCCTCCAGGCGCAGGAGCAGGGCCATGCGCTCGATATCCGGGCTCGAGCCCCCGGGCCCGGGGGTCTTGACGAAGGTCAGCGGGTCGGCAAGCCATGACTCGAAGCCCTCCGAGCCGCGATCTGTCGACCACGCCACAAGGCCTGTGCGCGCGTTTGTGTTTGTGTGTGTGTTTGTGCGGGCGTGTGCCGTTGCGGGCGTGTGCCGTTGCGGGCGTGTGCCGTTGCGGGTGTGTGCCGTTGCGGGCAGAGACAACGGCAGAAGACCGCAAGTTGAGCAGAGAAGGGCGAAGGCCAATGGTGAGCATGTGGCGCGCACCCCCGCAGTCATGGGAGGGAGAGCAGGGGGGGGGGAACACTACCGAGCAACAAACATGGAGGAGTGGCGAGGGGAAAGAAAGAAAGAGACCCAGCGGAGCGGGACACAACAGGCAGGCAGCGACGCACTTTCCAACCAGCGGAGGCGCACACTCCAGGCCAGGGCACGCCACCGGGCCCGCAGCCAGGCCATCCCATGCGCGGTGGTCAGGAACGAGGCATAAAGGGCACGCCAGCCGGTCTTGGATAGGGGGTGGAACTCGATGGCTGCCATGGCCGCCAAGTATCGTCCCCCCCTCTCCGAGGGGAAGGAGGTGAGCTTGCCTTCACAGGGAGGGAAAAGAAAAACAACAAGGCCGGCCGGGGAGGCCCCGGGGCAGACGCACCGAGGTCGCGCACGGCCGTCATGAAGGCCTTTCGATCGAAGGGCCGCGGCCGAGGACAGGGCCGATATGGCGCGGAGCTGCGGACCGGCCGGCGCCGGCACACGGGCGCATCAGCACAAGGCAAAGCGGCGGACGGAGAGGGAGCAGGAGGGGAGAGGGGGGTGCGGTGAGAAGACAGAAGAGGCCAGGGTGGGGGCAACCAGGACAGTGGCCCCGCGGCCGACGCACCTGCCGGCCGGGGGGGCCAGAAGTGCCACATAGCGGTCGATGGCCCGGAGGAACAGCCGCGTCAGCCGGTGGAAGTGCGACCGAATGAGCTTGTCCAGGTGCGCGTCTTCGACGAGTGCGCGGCACAGGCCGAGGCAAGCCACCGGGCCTGGGGAGTCAGCGAGGGGCGAGGAGACAGGGGGGGGGGGGGAAAGGGGGGGAGCGGGGCGGAAAAGAGAAACCCCAAACATGAGGAGGTGGCCGGGCGCACCGGACACCGTGGGATCGGTCACCGCCCGCGTGAGGAAGGGACACCGGCTGACATAGCGCCGGGCGGTGGTGGTCAGCTTGGGCGGACTGCCGGCGGTGCTTGGCCCGGGCCCGGGGCCAGGTGCCAGCGGGGTGGCTGGGGCCCCGGCGGGGCCCGGGCCGCCCGGGCCCCCGGCACCCAAGACGCCCCCGGTGCCGGGCCCGGCCAGCGCCCCGCCGGAGGAGGCCGTGAAGGCGAAGGGCTCGGCGCCGCAGAGGCCCGGGTCGAAGTGCGGCCCGGTGGCCCCCTTGGGCAAATGCAGAACATGCGGCCAGCGGGTGGCCCCGCCCGGCTGGCTCAGGGACATCAGCTTGAAGTGGGCATTGGTGATGCCGAGGATGAGGCCGGCCCGGCCGAGGACGGCCGTGGCGCTGGCCGAGCACCCGGGCCCGGCCAGGGCCGGCACCAGGTGCGAAGTGCCCGAGGCAGGAGCGCCGGGCCCGGCGCCCGGCCCGGCCGAGGCCAGCCCCGACATCGGATCCCCGGCAATGGGCCCGGCCGGACCGCCGGCAGCCGTGCCGCCGGGCCCGGCATACGAACAGAGAATCGGCAACGACACGGGGAGCCCATTGCGCGGGAGGCCGGGGATGGTCAGCCCCGGGGCCGGGGCCACGCCGACCGCCCAGACGGCCGGCGGCCGGCTCGGGCTGCCCGGGCGCAAGATCGACAGCGCCGCCGCCACGGACCCCCGAGAGGAGGCGCCCGCCGGGCCGGGGCCCATTCGACCGCCCTCCAGCGGCATGGAGGGCGACGAGGAGGCCCCGGGCGAGGCAGGCGCCCCGGCGACAGCCAACGCCGGGGAGGAGGCCGACGCCGCCGGCCCGGGCGAGGAGGCGGCCGAGCCGGGGCCCATGTCGCCGCCGCCGCCGCCGCCGCCGCCGCCGCCGCCACCCAGCAGGGCGGCCGCCAGGGCCTGGATCTCCACCTCGGACCCGGGGTTCGCCAGCCCGGGGGCCGACTCCGGCCAGCTGGACCACCACTCGTCGGATCGCACACACAGGGTCCAGCTGTCAAGGGGGCCCATGCTGAAGGACCAGGGGTCGGGCATGAGGGCCTTCGCGCCGGGCCGGGACCCGGATGTGGGCACCGCCACCGGGGAGCCGGTCCCCGGCGGTGGTACCAGCCCGGCGAAGGCCGAATCATGCAGCGTGAAGTAGGGCCGGTAGTCGCCGATGTAGGCAAGCGGCGGGGCACTCGGGCCGCCGGGGCCGGGCCCGGGCGCCCCGGCGCGACGTGGCTGCTCCGGCGTCCCGCGCAAGCAGGCAAAGCAGTCGCACGTCGAGTCGCCCGAGGCCCCGAGCTCCTCGCCGATGAGGCCGACCATGCCACGGACGACGGCCGACACGGCTGTCGGGTCGGCGCCGCACACGACCAACGGCTCGGCCGTCAGGACCAGCTGCCACAGGAGGTAGAGGTCGCCCACGGGCAGGGCATGGGAGAAGGCCAGATCCGGCACCGGCGGGGCCGGCGGCGTGGCCATCGACAAGGACAGGGGCGAGGGCGCCGGCGGGAGGGCGGCCGGCTGGCCGACGGGGGGGCCCGGCTGGCCGCCGGCCCCGGACCCAGCCTTGGAAGCCAGCGAGGCCAGCAAATCAACCGGCATCGGCCCGGCGGGCGGCTCCAGCCCTTCGGCCAGGCCCCCGGCGGAGTGGCTGCTCATGCGGAAGGAAGAAAGGGCCGCGGTGCTGGCGGCGGTGGCCGAGGCGGCCGGCGCCGCGGTCACTGTGACCGCGGGCTCGCCGGCTGCCGCCGGGGCGCCGGCCGTGCCGCCGGCCAGCGACAAGGTCGAGAAGGATCCGCTGGTCGAGGCAACGGTGGACGGGGCGCCGGAAGAGGCGGTCGTGCTGGACGACAGCGAGGAGGAGGACGACAGCGACAGAGGGTCCCACCATGGCGAGGAGGACTTGCTGGCCAGCGGCCGCCGATGTCGGGCAAGGTAGAGGGCCAAGCTGGCATGGTAGTCGCGCAGGGAGTATACTTGGGCCTGGGATGGGCCGGGGGGCGGGGGGGGGTCAGCAGGAGCCGTGTGGGCGTGGGCGTGTATGCCGGGAGTGGGGGAGTGAGGCGCAGCGCGGCCATAGATAGAGAGAGGGGGGAGGGAGAGAGAGAGAGGGAGGGAGGGAGAGAGAGGGAGGGAGAGAGAGAGAGGGAGGGCAAGAGAGAGAGGGAGAAAGGGCAAGAGAGAGAGGGAGAAAGGGCAAGAGAGAGAGGGAGAAAGGGCAAGAGAGAGGGAGAAAGGGCAAGAGAGAGGGAGAAAGGGGGAGAGAGAGGGAGAAAGGGGGAGAGAGAGAGGGAGAAAGGGCAAGAGAGAGAGAGGGAGAAAGGGCAAGAGAGAGAGAGAGAGAGAGAGAAAGAGAAAGAGGCCCCACCACAGGGCAGCCAAGTGCGGACGTGTCCCCCGAGCGAGCGTGGGATGGGGGAAAAAAAAAAGAGGGACGGAGACGGACGGGCACGTACGGACTCCAGACGGATCTTGGCCTCCTGCGGGCCGGCGCTGAAGGCCCGCGTGTCGCGAGCGCCAAGCTTGCCGGCGGCCAGGGCGGCCACCGAGGCAGCCTGGACGATGTCCGTATAGTCGGTCACATGGTGGTCGGACGCGTCGTGAGAGGACACGAACTCCGCATAGGAGAGGGGCATCTCCCCGGGCAGGCCGTCGGCCGAGTACCAAGGGGGCCGGTAGTGGATGAGCGACCCGAAGAAGGGCAACTCCAGGGACACGGGCTGGCGCACGCCATGCTGACTGATGAGGGACTTGCCGCGGCAAAAGGCGGCCGAAGGGGGGGGCCTGTGTGCGTGTGCGCGTGTGTGTGTGTGGCGGTGAGGAAAGGGGAGGAGCCCGACAGGCGTGTTTGTTCGGGGGGGGGGGGGGGGGGGTTAAATGGAGGACAGGGCGGAGGGAAGGGCGGGGAAAGGGGCAGCGCGGACGCACCACCGGGCAATGGCCCACCAGGCGGTCTCAAGGACGCCAGTGCCGCCGGCGGTCAGGTCCGGGGCCGGGAGGAGCCGGGCCGCGTCGGCCGGGTGGACGCCGGACTGGAGGATGCGCTGGTCATGCTCGTCGGAGTTGACCTGCAGGTAGACGGTGGCCACCATGCGGGCCAGCAGGCGCATGAGGCCCAGATGCCCCGGCGTGCGGGCCAGCACGACGATGGACTTTTGCAGGTAGCCACGCCGGCGACGAGCGTCCTTGCGCTGGCGGAAGAGCACCGCCCCATGCAGCGAGGGGGCATGGATGGACCCGGGCCCCGGGGGCCGAGGGGCCGAGGCGCCCGGCAGGACGCCCGCCATGCCGTCCCCCGGGCCCGGGTGCCGAGCGGTGGAGGCCGGGGCGCTGAGAGGCCGGGAGGCCAGGGACCCGGGCCCGGGGCCCGGGCCGGCATCCGGCCCCGGGGCCGTCGGCACCACGACCGTCAGGATGTGCGGCATCTCCGAGTCGGAGACCGGGATGCCGGGCGGGGGGCCGGCCTCGGTGGGGGAGGTGGCGGGGGCCGCCCCGGGGGCCGAGGGGCCGGGGCCGGGGCCGCCGTCAGGCCCAGGGTCCTCCGGGGGCGGCTCCGCGGCCACGCTCGGGTGCCGGACCGGCCGAAACCACGAGTCGTGGCGCATGCGGAAGGTGAACTCGATGTCGGCCTCGGCCGACACGGAGTTCGAGTCGGGAAAGGCGTTGAAGCAGATGTTGAGCATTTCTCGCTCGGACAGATGCACCGGCGGGTAGATGGCCTCGATGGACTGGCCGAGCTCCAGGTCGAAGGTGACCACCACAATGCAGTGGAGCCACCGCTGGCCGGCCAGCAGGATGTCCAGCGGGGGGAAGCTGGCCGCCGCGGGGGACGTCACGCCGGGCTGGGTGGGCGTGCCGGCCGGGCCGCCGGGCGGCGATCGGCCGGGCCCCGGCGTGTGGGGTGCTTTCAGCAGCGAAGAGGGCGGCAGGGTGTCGGCCGCCTGCGGCGAGGAGGGCGGCGCCGGGCCGCCGTCATCGCCACCGCCGTTGCCGCCACCGCGGCCGCCGCCGCCGCCGCCGTCGCCGCCACCGCCGTTGCCGTCACCGCCGCCACCGCCATCAATCACTGTCGGGCTGCTCGCCCCGGCTACCGCCGTCGCCGCCACCAAGTCCGCCTCGTTGAAGACCGGGCTGTCGGTGCTGGTGCGGGGGAGCGCCAGCTCCTCGGTAGCGAAGAGCATGGCTCTCTATGGGGGG